TAGAACAAGTGACCTGAAGAGTGTCATCATGGGCTTGGCATCACTAGTTTCAAAGGTTCTCATTATCCATCCTGTCATTTTTCTAGTAGATGCCATTGGTACAATGTTGCGATCTTTGAAGGTGAGTCAAGAAATCGTAATGACACGATTGCAAATAAACCATACCCCCGGCCGGGATTGAACCCGCGGTCATAGAGTCTCAAAACTCCAGCCCGTCGCGTTAGCCACTAGACCAGCTAGCCACAATAAGATTCATCCAACTAGGTATATTTCTACACCATAGGAAAGTTAGCACAGGCACCTCTGTGACCACAAATGCAAGTTTTTACAGACGAATCTCCAGCTAGCGTGGCCGTGATGAACTCTAGCTCAAGTCCCTTCACTGCCGTCAACATGACTCAAGAAATCGTAATGACACGATTGCAAATAAACCATACCCCCGGCCGGGATTGAACCCGCGGTCATAGAGTCTCAAAACTCCAGCCCGTCGCGTTAGCCACTAGACCAGCTAGCCACAATAAGATTCATCCAACTAGGTATATTTCTACACCATAGGAAAGTTAGCACAGGCACCTCTGTGACCACGGCCACGCTAGCTGGAGATTCGTCTGTAAAAACTTGCATTTGTGGTCACAGAGGTGCCTGTGCTAACTTTCCTATGGTGTAGAAATATACCTAGTTGGATGAATCTTATTGTGGCTAGCTGGTCTAGTGGCTAACGCGACGGGCTGGAGTTTTGAGACTCTATGACCGCGGGTTCAATCCCGGCCGGGGGTATGGTTTTTTTGAAGGTGAGATCCTCTGACATTATCCCTCCCAGGTGACATTAGTTTTTTGTTCTATTGTGTGGTGGGAATTTGTTTTATATTTACAATGTAGTTCTAATTTCCTCATGTTTTCCATATCGAAGTTGGTGGATGGTGGTTGCTGTGAATGCTTAGTAAAGGTTAGAAATTTGAAAACTGTTTCCCAGAATTTTTGTGTGTGGATTTATTGCTGTTGCAATTATTATACTATACTTGATATACCTGTGCTTGGTCTCAAGAGATTTTGTATCATCAAAACCTGGCCTGAGGCAAGGTTACTGAATTTGTGTGCTTACAGCCTCTCCTCACTTAATGACGGGGTTCCATTCCTAAGTCCACGTCGGTAAGCGAATTCATCGGTAAATAAGGAGCATACTATAATGGTAGTGGGTTTGTGTCAACCATCTTTGATAGCGTTTTAACGTCACCTTTACACCATTTATAACATTTCTGGTATATTTTTAAATGTTTATACAGTAGTGTACTGTACATTGTAATAAACAGAATAGAGGGAAAAAAAACACTAATATACATTATTTAGGAATGCATATTGGTCAGAGAGCCCATCGTAAGTCTGAGTCGTTGCTAAACGAGTACGTCGCTAAGTGAGGAGAGGCTGCATTATTACTACCGTATCATTTCCCCTGTACAATATTTTCATCTACTTGTTACATATAGTGCCATGAATTTCTTTATATGTAGTGCATGTAAGAGAACTAACTGTATGCTGATACATCACAGCCTCTATTTAACTATTACAGCCATTGTTATGCATTTCTCAATTACTTTACAATATCTTGTTGATAATGTTACTGAAAATATGTTTTAAGCAAATAAATGGTTGGTATTTTTTACCTGGTCAGGTTTAACCCTTTGACTGTCGAAGGGCCCAATCCTGAAGTGTCTCCTGGTGTCGCAAAATATTCGAAAAAAAAAAAATTATTTTTTCTTATGAAAATGTTAAGATTATTTTTCTGATTGTTTTAGTCCCCAAAAAAATTTTTTCCCATCAGTACTTACCGAGATATAGAGTCCTGAAGTTTGCTGAAATTGATCTGCGAGCAGCAACAGCGGCGACTGCCGCTCACCCGGTAAACTTTGATTTACTTGTATTCGATGGTTTCTTGTTTTTTTCACTATTTTATTTTTCACAAACATTTGTGGCCTGTGAGACCAAATTATTGTGCAATGTTCAAATATACACTCGTTGAATGTAACACAATTATAGCAAAAACACTCGTATCATTATAATGTTGCTAAAACTTGTTTACACAAACAAACAATGTAAACAAATGTTTATTACGATTGTTTTATAATATATATACATATGTACAATCACTGGACACTTTTCTAGAAGTGCTGCAGCTTGTGGAATTCTTTGAAACATGGGTATAAGCACAATGGTGTCTTACACTCCTCACACATAAAACGAGTGTCTCTGCGTTTTGTGGGCGTTTTTGTGGTATGTCCACAGACAAAACACCTCTTCTGAGCATTTTTCTTGGCAGTAGTAGCAGGCAGTGGTATGGGGTAGTGATCACCAGGCCTCAGACGAGAGGACATGTGTTGATAATTTCGTGGGCGCTGGTCTATTGCAGGTGTTGTTTCTTGGTACGTACTTGAATATTATTTGTCTGATGACTGACAAACAAAATTCACCATATTTGGGTTTCTTCTTGGTCTTCAACTTATACATATTATAAGCATTCAGCATGGAAATGTCAAGAAGATGGAAAAACAGTTTTATGTACCACTTATAACTCTTGCGAACACAGTCAGCAAACCCAATCTGCATGTCACATTTGTCCACTAAGTGCATATTGAGGTTATAATCCTTCACAGCTGCAGGTTTTACAATGGGTTCATTGGTCTCTCTATTCTGCTTGCCAGTGTCTACCATTTCGTGTCGGTGAACTGATGTCAGCAGTGTGACATCATGTTTGTCATGCCACCGAAATGCCATGATGTCATTGGCAGCAAACACCTGCACTTCACCTCTACGACTGCCAGCATCGAACCTAGGCATATGTTTACGATTTCTACGCACTGTGCCACACACATCTGTCATGTTCACTTGCAAGAAATCACTGAGTATAGGGCTTGTGTACCAGTTGTCAGTATATAAAATATGCCCCTTACCAAGATATGGCTCCATCATTGTTCTAACCACATCACCAGAGATACCCAGTAACTTCCTGGTATCTTCCATTGTTTTACCGCCAGTGTACACAATTATATCCAAAACCAGACCAGTTTTGCAATCACACAAAACAAATAACTTTATACCAAAGTGTTTCCTCTTGCTTGGTATATACTGCTTGAATGAGAGTCTTCCTTTGAACAAAATCAAAGACTCGTCAATAACAAGCTTCCTGAAGGGATAAAAATACATACAGCACTTTTGTTTCAGGTACATAAACACACGTTTGATCTTATATAACCTGTAGCTTCTGTCAGGCCTGGTTTTGTCGGAAAAGTGTAACATACGTAACAGTAACACAAATCTATTCACTGGTATAATGTCACTGAAAGCAGGGGTTGAAATCAGGCGGTCTGTCGCCCAGTATGTGTTGACACTATGCTTATACACATGTGGCATAAGCATTATTGTGGCACAGAACAGATACATCTCTGCCACAGTTGTGTCCTTCCACTGGTGTAGGCGTGATCTTGGTGACAGAATAGTGTTTGCCATGGTGTACTCATAGTATGTATTGCTTTCCCTGACAATAATGTTCATCAGGGGTTCATCAAAGAACAACTGAAAGCATTCCAGTTCAGTGGGATTGTTCCCAAGTGTACATGATGGCCGTATTCCACTTTGTCCTCCATCAAAGTCATGGGGATTGGGAACAAACTCGTCATCTTGCTGCCAATCCCAGATGTGGTCAGCTGGTGCGTTCTGGATATTGTAATGTGGTTGTGGTTGTGGTTGTAGGAGTGTGGGGTCGGGCGAGGCTGGTTGTAGTTGTGCAGAGTCAGCAGCGTGGGTAGTAGCGTGGCCCGCTGCTGGTGTCACATGACTCATGCCACCATCACTATCACCACCACCGCCTGCTGCCTCACTCACATCATTTATACCCATCGTAACAATATCATCATCTTCACTATCAGGACATGGTGTAGGGCCACGGGACGTGCTCCGAGATGTACTCCTTCCTCTTGGAAGAGCATATGGCACACTACCAGACAGCATGCGACGTCGTATATACTGCCGCTTCACTGGGGAATATTCACCCTCACTGTCACAACTAGAACTGCTTTCAATAACCTTGAAATCACTATCACTATCACTTGTACTGCTCACATCTGAGTCTTGTACACGGGCAAATAGTTTCCTCTTTCGTCCTGGTACAGGTGAACATGAACGAGCCGGCTCAGCACCAGAGGTGGAAGGTTGTGGGTCATCTGGGTTTTCATCACTAATTATGTTATCCTGGGTAATTTTCTCGGTCACACCCGCTTCAAAACCAGGGAATTCACTTTACTGACACTATCATCACTGTTTGAGCTATCATTTGGGAACAAAAGACCTCACATCCGCCGAGGAGTGAGGAACTTCTTACCGCGAGGCATGGTGAAAATGGACTACCAACATGGTGTTCCCACAATGCACCGCTGAGTCCCAGATTTTTTTCACAGGGTGCACACCGACCACTGAGACCCATTCTCTCTTGTGTAGGCCTACCAGCCCTCTCCCGCTTGATTGAAGCCGCTAGAATTTATGCGTATAGATACGTCAAACACGGTATCTCCCATGACGTATATATACGACCGCGACAGTCAAAGGGTTAAAGATACAATACAGTGGTACCTCGAGTTTTGAACAGCTCCCAGCTCGAACGTTTATGTAAGTGCATTTTTGTAAGTGCTTTTGTAAGTGTATTTTTGGGGGTCTGAAACGGACTAATCTAATTTACATTATTCCTTATTGGAATAAATTCGTTTGGTATCGGCCCTCGAACAGCCTTCTGGAATGAATTAAGTTCGTAACTCGAGGTACCACTATATTATTACACACTGCATAGATAAATTAAATGATCATACACAGTTGAAATAGTTGAAATTAGCAGTAGTGGTCTGTATTTAGCAATTAAATCAAATTTAATTTTGGGGATTTACAAAAATTATATTACTGTAAACAGATACTGTACTGTAGAAGACAAAAATGAATCATATAAGGAAAGAACAGACCTGAACTAAATAAAAGCAAAGGTGTAGGTAGATATGTAGCATGGGTAAGACAGTGTGTCATGTGAGGCTCCAGCAGACAGGCAGACCAGTGTAGCTTTTCTGTTGGACACTGCCATCTCTCTCTGTCTCTCCATTTCCACCACCATCTTGCACAATCATTAGAACTCCTGAAAAAAAAAAAAAACTTCATTTGCCATTTATACAGTGCATGATTTTCAAAATTATGATGCTACCAGATACTGCACTATCAGAGTTGATTGAATATCGAAATATACACACTTGGCATATAAAGTCTGGCAAACCGCAAGATCTCTGCCTGTTTCGCCTACATATTTCTTGGGACAGAATCCACAGGGGATGGTGTAGATGCCGTCTGTGGAAGTTAGGGGTGTGGGGCTGCGTTTCATGGTGAGTTCTTCGATAGATGTGTTTATGGTTAGCAAGTGCCCGGCGAGTATTCGTGGCAACATTACCACATGGGAGCACTACGAAGTGCTTAGAGGGCCGTTCCATGGGCATCTTGTTGAGGATAACTTGTGCCTTGAGTCTGCAATCTCAGATGAAGAAAGATGAAACTGAAGACGTGTAAAGGCTTGTGTTATGTTAACACATTCTTCTTCAAGAAAACAAGGGCTGGAGATGCGAAGAGCTCTCAAGAAGAAGCCAATCAGGACTCCTCTTTTAGTGTGAGTGTCTTGGTGTGAATAGAAGTATACTATATTTACCACTTTATTTCATCTAACAATAATGAGGGTAGGTATAGTATTACCATACATTAAGAGTTTTTTGTAGTAAGGAAATAAAAATTTAGTATTAAATCTACTGGCTTTTATTTTTGGTATTGGCTTAATAGTACCCTGTGCAGTCCTGGCCCTTGCTTGATTTTTTAAACTAATCTATATGCCTGATTTTTTTTTTTTCTGAGTGGCTTGATTTCCATATATGCACCAAGTGGTGAATGAAAGAGCACAAAAGTTACAGCATGAGTAACTAATAAAAGCTGAAGTTCTTTCTTCTGAATACTGCAAATAAATCAAATCAAAAGCAAAGTAATAAACAGCCATAGCAATCATTATATAATTAATAATTAAAATGACATTACTCAACCACATTAGTAAGGAAGCTCCATCATTCCATAATGTATAGGTTACAATTAACAAAGACGATAAAACTGATTTGTAACAACTGAAAATGATAATCATATGTATTACTGTAATTATAAAATACCAGCATGACAACCACCATCAATTAATCTAAATAAAATAAGAAATTAACGTCAAAAGCAATTAACTTATCTCAAACTCAAATAACCAATTGACTATCAAACTATCTGCCCCAAAAACATTCCATTTCATAAGACAGCCTCCTGAGTCCCCTCACCTGTTCCATCTCCCACTCTTTTTTGTCTATTCATAATTTCTGTTGCACCCTCTATGCGGGATAGGTCATCCTGATAGATGGTAATTCCAAAATAATTGTAACTCAGCTCTGCTGGAAGACAGTTTTTCAAGCTGATGAACCTTTAATGGAGTACTTGCCAATGACATTCTTCTTTGCTATTGAAGTCTTCCAGTTCAGTCCAACACATTTCAGAACAGTAACTCATCTTATGTGATGGAATATTAAATGAAAAAATAGTTAGCTTTAGTTCCTATTATCTGTATCCAATTTTGCTAAATAAAAAAATCATACTCTCATATACAAAACCTGTATACCTGGAGAGGGTTTCGGGGGTCAACACTCCTGTGGCCCAGTCTGAGACCAGGCCTCGTGGTGGATCAGGGTCTGATCAACCAGGCTGTTACTGCTGGCTGCATGTAAACCGAAGTACGAACCACAGCCCAGCTGATCAGGTACTGAATTTAGGTGCCTGTCTAGTGCCTGCTTGAAGACAGATAGGGATCTATTGGTAATCCCCCTTATGTATGCTAGGAGGCAGTTGAAGTGTCTTGGGCCCCTGACACTTATCATGTTGTCTTGGGCCCCTGACACTTATCATGTTATCTTTTACTGTACTCATAGCACCCTTGGTTTTCACTGGGGGAATGTTGCATTTCCTGCCAAGTCTTTTGCTTTCGTAGGGAGTGATTTTCATGTGCAAGTTTGGTACTAATTCCTCTAGGATTTTCCAAGTGTATATTATCATGTATCTTTCTTGCCATCGTTCCAGGGAATACAAATCAAGGGACTTCAACTATTCCTAGTAATTTAGGTGCTTTATCATACTTGTGTGTGCTGTGAAAGTTCTCTGTACATTCTCCAGGTCAGCAGTTTTGTCTGACTTGAAGGGAGTAGTTAGTGCACAGTAGTATTCCAGCCTCAAGAGTACAAGCGATTTGAAGAGAATCATCATGGGCTTGGCGTTCCCAGTTTTGAAGGTTCTCATTATCCATTGTACTCACCTAATTGTGGCTGCAGGTGTCGAGACTCAGCTCCTGGCATCACCTCTTCACTGATCACTACTAGGTCCTCTCTCTCCCTGCTACATGAGCTTTATCATACCTCTGCTTAAAGCTATGTATGGATTCTGCCTCCACTACATTGCTTCCCAAACTATTCCACTTCCTGACTACTCTGTGGCTGAAGAAATATTTCCTAACATCCCTGTGATTCATCTGTGTCTTCAACTACGAACTGTGTCCCCTTGTTGCTGTGTCCCATCTCCGGAACATCTTGTCTTTGTCCACCTTGTCAATTCCTCTCAGTATTTTATGCCGTTATCATGTCCCCCCTATCTCTCCTGTCCTCCAGTGTCGTCAGGTTGATTTCCCTTAACCTCTCCTCGTAGGACATACCTCTTAGCTCTGGGACTAGTCTTGTTGCAAACCTGTGCACTTTCTCTAGTTTCTTTATGTGCTTGGCTAGGTGTGGGTTTCAAACTGGTGCTGCATACTCCAATATGGGCATAATGTACACGGTGTACAGGGTCCTGAACGATTCCTTATTAAGATGTTGGAATGCTGTTCTGAGATTTGCTAGGCGCCCATATGCTGCAGCAGTTATTTGACTGATGTGCACTTCAGGAGATGTTCCTGGTGTTATACTCACCCCAAGATCTTTTTCCTTGAGCGAGGTTTGTAGTCTTTGGCCCCCTAGACTGTACTCCGTCTGTGGTCTTCTTTGCCCTTCCCCAATCTTCATGACTTTGCACTTGGTGGGGTTGAACTCCAGGAACCAATTGCTGGACCAAGTCTGCAGCCTGTCCAGATCCCTTTGTAGTTCTGCCTGGTCTTCGATCGAATGAATTCTTCTCACCAACTTCACGTCATCTGCAAACAGGGACACTTCGGAGTCTATTCTTCCCGTTATGTCGTTCACAAATACCAGAAACAGGCTAGTCCTAGGACTGACCCCTGTGGGACCCCGCTGATCACAGGTGCCCACTCTGACACCTTGCCACGTACCATGACTCGCTGCTGTCTTCCTGACAAGTATTCCCTGATCCATTGTAGTGCCTTCCCTGTTACCCCTGCTTGGTCCTCCAGTTTTTGCACTAATCTCTTGTTTGGAACTGTGTCAAACGCCTTCTTGCAGTCCAAGAAAATGCAATCCACCCACCCCTCTCTCTCTCTTGTCTTACTGCTGCGTGTGTGTGTACTCACCGATTTGTACTCGCCTATTTGTGGTTGCAGGGGTTGAGTCTCAGCTCCTGGCCCTGCCTCTTCACTGATCGCTACTAGATCCTCTCTCTCCCTGCTCCATAAGCTTTATCATACCTCATCTTAAAGCTATGTATGGTTCCTGCCTCCACTACCTCACTTTCCAGACTATTCCACTTCCTGACAACTTTGTGACTGAAGAAATATTTCCTAACATCCCTTTGACTCGTCTGAGTCCTCAACTACCAACTGTGACCCCTTGTTTCTGTGTCCCATCTCTGGAACATCCTGTCTGTCCACCTTATCTATTCCTCGCAATATTTTGTATGTTGTTATCATGTCTCCCCCAATCCTCCTGTCCTCCAGTGTCGTCAGGCCTATTTCCCTTAACCTTTCTTTGTAGGACATTCCACTTAGCTCTGGAACTAGCCTTGTTGCAAACCTTTGCATTTTCTCTAATTTCTTGACGTGTTTGACCAAGTGTGGGTTCCAAACTGGTGCTGCATACTAGAGTATGGGCCTCACGTACACGGTGTACAGCGTCTTGAACAATTCCTTACTGAGGTATCAGAACGCTATTCTCAGGTTTGCCAGGCGCCCATATGCTGCAGCAGTTATCTGGTTGATTTGTGCTTCCAGAGACGTGCTCAGTATTGTACTCGCCCCAAGATCTTTCTCCTTGAGTGAGGTTTGCAGTCTTTGGCCACCTAGCCTATACTCTGTCTGCAGTCTTCTTTGCCCTCCCCCGATCTTTATGACTTTGCATTTGGCTGAGTTAAATTTGAGTAGCCAGTTGCTGGACCACATGTCCAGCCTGTCCAGGTCTCTTTAGTACTGCCTGATCCTCATCTGATTTAATTCTTCTCATTAACTTCACATCATCTGCGAACAGGGACACTTCCGAGTTTATCCTTTCCGTCATGTCATTCACACATACCCCTGTGGAACCCCGCTCGTAACAGGCACCCATTGTAATACCTCATCTTGTACCATGACTCGTTGTTGCCTCCCTGTCAGGTATTCTCTGAACCACTGCAGTGCCCTTCCTGTTATATGTGCCTGATCCTCTAGCTTCTGCACTAATGTCTTGTGAGGAACTGTCGAAGGCCTTCTTGTAGTCCAAGAAAATACAGTCAACCCCCCTCTCTCTCTCTCTCTCTCTCTCTCTCTCAGAGGTTAAGGATTCCTAACTTTATTGGCAAGCTAGGAGCTGTTACCTACATCAGCTCATTTGAAAGCATTTTAATTGTTATGAGACATACAAGTAGGGAACAGGATGAAGTTGGAGCCATCTGTGGGCCAGCATTTTCATGTGATCAACTGACTTTATCTCGTTGACATCATTATGCTGTACGAATGTGTTCCATACTCGAGTCATCCTGGGTATACATGATCTCAGATGGAGTGATGTTCTGGAGAAGGGTACAGCCAGAGTGAAGTTGCTGCTTTCTGCCCATCTTGTGGCATAAAAGCTTGTTTCATGCTTCCTAGAAGTGGATCCAAGTGTGGTACTTTGACAATATTGGCCTTGTACATAACAGTAAGGCCACCCATGTCCCTCCTGTGTTGAAGGCTCTGCTGAAATGACAGATCTATCCAGGATGGGTCCAGGCGAGAGACGAGACGTCTTGCTCTGTTCTCTACTCTGTCAAGCAGTCGCAGATGAGAGGAGAGGCAGGCAAACCAAGAAAGTGGAGCATACTCAAGGTGTAAGCGTACTTGTGCCTCGTACAGAATCTTGCAACCCCTACTGTCAAGCAGATGCGAGATATGGCAAAGTGCTGTAAGCTTCCTGGCTGCCTTGTTCGCAAGATTTACAACATGGTTCTTCATGGTTAGTTTGGATTCAAATATCACCCCAAGGATATCAACTTCTTCTCCAGGTGCCAACACCCTCCCATTCATCCTTACTACTGCACCAGCATTTCCATCATGGTGCCTAGAGACGATCATCATTTGCATTTTCTCAGG